TGGATGTACTTTTCCTTCCCTACCTTCCCAATTTGACTGTGAAATGAAGCCAGGAAAGACGAAAAGGGGGACAGGAAAAGAGGTTGGCTTTGTAGAATGTGTTGTTGGAATTTAGGGATGTCCTGTGCTTCTTTCAATTTCATATGTTTAGGTTGGTGGGTGAGTTCCAGTTATTTATCCTGTTGTGACTTGAACGTGACTACAATCTAAGAAAAGTTTTCAACTGTAGAGAAAAGCCACTTTAAAAACAAAGGCAAGCTTTCTTGCACTTGCTATCAAATAGCTAAGGTTGATAGGGCTTATGATTGAAGATTAGCATGTCATTCACCTAGTCTGCAGCATGTTTTAGATACTATAATTTATTTAAATATAGATGTCCATTTATTTATATATTTTCTCTAAATTTAAAAATCACTTGGTGAGGTATACTACTATTAGTTCCTTAAGAAGCTTATTGAATTGACCATCTTATGGAAAATTATCAGTGGCATTATGTATCTACCATCCTAGTTTTTGTTACTTCAATTTTTGGTTATTGCTGTGTTAGAAGTTCCATAAGCCTTTTAGAGGGATGGATTTGCTTGAGTCACAGAACCTGGATTTCCTGTTTAGGTGATGTGATGTTCATTACACAGACTGGCGCTTAACATGCATTTTTAACAGTGTAACATTATTTGCTAGATCATTTTGTTCTGTTTATCACGCCCCTCATTTAATTTTGGACTACTTTTTCCAACTCCTTCCCCATTTTTGTACCTCCTTGACCGATACTCAAAATTCAGTCCCCATCTTTCTTTGAAAGTAGATACTTTCTCAAAATCAACCGCCGGGGTGCGAGTGGGGGTTGGGGTGGGGATACTGAGACTGCCAAGATAACATTCTGCAAATAAATCAAGCAATGAAGGGTGAGATAACACAGCTGACCAAGATTGAAGTCTTGGCACTTTTTGGTAGCATAATTATGTTCCAAAGTTTTTTTTTTTAAATGAATCCTTTTAGACTATATATTTTCTGTACAAATACATGCATGTTAAGGGCCTAGTCTCCATGATTTTTTGGCAAGAGTTTGGGAGATCATAATAGCTGATTAGAGCCATTTGCTTAATGTTTGGTTTCTCTCATGCTTTCCGCTTGGTTTTTCGTTGAACTTTCTTGCAGCGAATTTTGCTGCAGGGGACATTATAGAACAGACCACTTTTCGGCAGCCTGTTGAAGTACCTCAAGATAAGCTTCTAGGTGGCCTTCTTCCAGCAGGATTAGATGAAAAGTCGTGCCTTAGTAGGTATCAATCAGTCTTATATCGCAAAAAAAATATACATCAGCCTTCTTCTCATCTCATCTCTAGGTTACGAAACTATGAATCACAGCATAAACGATGTGGACCATACACGGAGTCCTACAACCGAACCTTGAAATATCTTAACTCTAACCAATACAACAGTTCCACAGGCTGCAATTATGTTGTCTGGCTTTCCTTCAGTGGTTTAGGAAACAGAATACTCTCTTTGGCATCTGCTTTCCTTTATGCACTCCTCACAAATAGAGTTCTACTTGTTGATCGTGGATTAGACATTCCAGATCTTTTCTGCGAACCATTTCCAGATGTATCATGGTTACTTCCCTCTGATTTCCCACTTACTGATAAGTTCAGTAGCTTCAATCAGAAATCTCCTGAGAGTTATGGGAATATGCTGAAAAATAATGTGTTTGCCAATTCAGTTAGTTCTTCACTGCCAGCATATGTCTATCTCCATCTAGTTCATGACTATGATGAACATGACAAGCTTTTCTTCTGTGATCAAGATCAAACTGTTCTCCAGCAAGTACCTTGGCTGATTTTGAAAACAGATAATTATTTTATCCCTTCTCTTTTTCTGATCCCATCTTTTGAGCAAGAATTACATAATCTCTTTCCAGAGAAAGGGACTGTCTTGCATCATTTATGCCGGTATCTCTTAAATCCAACAAACTCTGTTTGGGGGCTGATCACTAGGTATTACAATGCTTATTTAGCCACAGCAGATGAAAAGATAGGCATACAAATAAGAGTCTTTGAAGCAGGTCCTGGTCCATATCAGTATGTGTCAGATCAGATTTTGGCTTGTGTGATCAAGGAGAATCTGCTACCACAAATCAATAAGAACCTACCTATCATCAATCCACCTGGAAAACCAAAGATTAAAGCTGTGCTAATCACATCTTTGAGTTCTGGATACTTTGAGGCACTGAGAAACATGTACTGGGAACATCCCACTATCACAGGAGAAATCATTGAACTATGTCAGCCAAGTCATGAAGTGTATCAACAAACCGAGAAGCAGATGCACAATAGGAAAGCATGGGCAGAAATGTACCAGCTGAGCTTGATGGATAAGTTGGTCACAAGCTCATGGTCAACCTTCGGTTATGTTGCTCAAAGTCTTGGAGGATTAAGACCATGGATTCTTTACAAGGTCGAGAATCAGACGGCTCCAGATCCACCTTGTCAGCGTGCTATGTCGATGGAACCTTGTTTCCATGCCCCACCTTTTTATGATTGCAAAAGAAAAATAGGGACTGACACAGGAAAAATTGTGCCTAATGTGCAACATTGTGAAGATATGAGCTGGGGTCTTAAACTTTTTGACGGATAAAGGGTTCTGATCTCATATTTATTTATTATGGTATGGAAGAATATGAAATCCCATCCTGAATTATCTCAGCCTTTGCTGTGATCATTTGGAAATTCAGATTTCTCTCATGTATACATAGCCTCTAGGTAGTTGAATACAATCAGAATTTGGAAACCATGGACCTGGCTTGGGTTTGCAATCCAGTTCCTGTAATACTGCTAAATTCTTGCAGCAGTTCTACATGGCTGATTGCGTTTGGATTGCAATTTTAAAAAAAAAAAATTGCTACGTTTTCCGTAAACATATTTTTCAATCACTTTTTTACCTCACATATATCAAATCGTTACAATAATTTTTTTACAAAAAATCCAGAAAAATGCAATCCAGACTGAGACATCACTGCTTGACAGGTTAGCAATTGTACATCACTGTATTTGTATGGCCATAAGGGGTACTCACCAGTCATTAATATCAGACAATTGAAAAGAGAATTATAATTTTTTGGGAAAAGAAGAAATTGGTAGAGTAACAGAAGAAGAAGAAGTAACTCAAAGGCCCTAAATAATTTTGGGAAATAGATATCTTACCCCCATGTTTGGTGGAGTGGTAACCTTTTCTCCTTAGTAAATTTTAATTTTGTTCTACTTTCACCTGATAGAAGTAGAAGGCTTTTGTTCATTATCCTATGGCAGAGGAACGCCTGCTTTATTTTGTAATTCAAAAATTTTCTGAATATGATCAGGTAAAATCTAATTTTCTTATGGATTGAATTTGTATCATGCTTTACAAATTCGTGGAGTTACTTAATGGTTATAGATATTAGCTTGATCACTTTAAGTTTGGGGAAGATAGTTTGATATCTAAATTGCACGATCCATAGAATTTGGTTTAGAAACGATGAGTTTTTAAAACTCTATATAGTAAAACCTCCACAAGATAATATTCAATAAATTAATAATCTATATTAACTAATAATTTTTCAAGTCCCGACTTGGGCTAACGAGCTAAATTAATAATTTCTATAAAATAATAAGATAATATTTTTTTGAAAACTCTATATAATCCTTTGGTTCCATTCATATATCATAAGTTAATAATTCACTAATATTACATATTAAATTTTCCTAAAATATGAGTTTATTATTGTTTATTTTTTCTTAAAATTTAAATCTACTGGACCTCATCAAATCAACCATGTCTGATCAAATGCATAAAACATTATGTGAGTCAGTATAGTAGAGAGGATCCCACGTACATGTGAACATCTATCAATATCATTTAGTTTTCTAAATCTTTTTGACATCTTGATAATAGAATAATGGATTGGTTTATATTTCTTAGATAGAATCGTAAGTATACTCGATAATTAATTAATACCACTTTAAATTAATAGAATTTGTATAGTTTCAAGAGCATTATTTTATAAAGGTTTTACTGTAATTTATGGTGATTATTCTAATGATTTTTTTTTTTTATCAAAGGAGCATTGCAACATTTAAGCACTAAGTTCTAAATTCCATGCCCATAACTTTCACAATCAAATCCCAAATTGTGTTGATTCTTCGCAATTAACCTTTCTCCTCTATGTTTTGTCGAGTAAATCATGCTGGACAATTTTAGCAATCTCATTAATAAAGTTCTTTGTTTTATCCAAAAAAAAGAACCCTTTCATCAATGTCGCCATTGCTGGATTGTGAAAATTTGGATATCTCCCATTGATTATATCATGTTAGTAAAGGCAGCTTTTGTATGTATCAAATACAAATTGCAAAATATAAATAGTAACATAAAATAGATTTCCAATCTAATTTAGATTCAATTACATAATTTAAAATGTTAAATGTATGACAGATTTAAATAAGGGTTTTTCTAATGGAAACTTGTTAAAATGCCTAAATAACACTTAACTTACCATTTAATAGACACATTCATAATTAACACACCCTCAGCATTTAGACATTTAAATAAGTTGATAAAGAGTTTGTTATAGAATGGATTAGGGATTTGTCTAACGGCTGCTTAATTTGTTAAAATTAATTAGAGAAGTGTACAAATATAAGAGAGAATAATAATTGTTAATATATGTATACATATGATAAGTTAGATGAAATTTAAAGCATATTAATGGGTGTCCAACGACGCCTGTTAGAAAAACCTTTAGGATTAAGATAAAGTTTTAAATCAAATCAAATGAAAAGTGTCATTTCTTTTTATGCACCTATTATTTTGTGAAAGAAACTTCGACAACTAAATTTGGCTCGACATTGAAAGGTACAGGAGCAAAAGTGAAGAAAGAAAATTGTTTCTTGGGACCACTAAAATTGATACTTTTAACAGACTTGGCCGCTACCCGCGAAACGTGCCCATATCAACGGTAATCTCACATACTTTTCGACCCAAAACCTTCATTAGACCCCTGATAACCCCACAGATTACCCAGTCAATTTCCCTTTTCTGTTAATAATTCTTGAATTTGGACTTAAACCCAAGAATTCTCTGCCGACATTGCACATTGCATCCCTCTCCAAAGTCCAGTGGATTTCTTGATTTGCAGAAGCCAAGCATGGACTGTCTAGAGATGACAAAGTTGAGGAGCAACTTCAGTAATGATAACCAAATAAAGCCTCACGAAGGTCCTGCAAAAGACACCATTTTCAGGAGTCTAGAAGCAAGATGCTCTGAGAATCCAATCAAAGTATTTGGGATTTTCGTCGGTTGCTTCATGGGATTCTTTGTTATGTTCTCAGTATTGAAGAATCCTTCATCTTCTGAAGCCAGGCTTCTTGATTCCAGACCTTTTGGAAAAGGTACTACTTCATTTTTCCTGTTCTTGTAGTACTACTGTGGACTTTGATCGAAGTTAATTGCTGAAGTTAAAGGTAAATAATTGAAGTTAGAGCAAGTTATGGTACAGACTTTATTCAAGTTGAATTTACGAGACTGTCTAGTGCTTTTTTGGTGGTAAAGCGCAGTAGTAGACTAGTAGTACCTCAGATGGTGAATGGAAAATCTAGAGCTGAAACCATAAGAAAATGGATCCCCAAAAAGAAAAAACCAGAAAGAAGAAGAAGAAGAACAAAAACAGTCTTCATTATATTTTAGATAAGTAGTGATATGGCAATGTATTCATTCATTCGACATAGATGCTCATTGATTACTTTTACACATTATTAAATTGCCTAGCCTGTCTATACATTAGGATGAGTTGATTCAGAAGATTATGCAATCTGATTGCCTTTTGCAGGCAATATTACTTTTAAGTTATTTGCACCTGATCTGCAGTAATTTTACCATATGTCCTTCGGCTCACCACATTGTGATTTGCGAAGTATCGGTAGACTTCAGAGAAATTAATTGTTTTTTGTAACTATCTTTGCCAGGTGATGCTGTGGTTGATATTCCGAAACAGAATATAGTTAAAAGAGACAATTTTCCCGAGCCTGTTGAGAAACCACAGGATAAGCTTCTTGGTGGTCTTCTACCTGCAGGATTGGATGAAAAATCATGTTTAAGTAGGTATCAATCGGTCTTGTACCGCAAGCAACAAAGTGGCCGGCCTTCTTCCCATCTTATCTCTAGATTACGCGGATATGAAGCCTTGCATAAACGATGTGGACCATTCACAGATTCCTACAACAGAACTTTGGAATATCTCAAGTCAAGCAGCCATGGTGAAGACACCAATTCCACAGGTTGCAAGTACATTGTCTGGATTCAGCCAATCCAAGGTTTAGGAAACAGAATACTTAGTTTGGCATCTGCTTTTCTTTATGCTCTGCTAACAGATAGAGTCCTACTTGTTGATCCTGGTGGCTACATACCTGATCTTTTTTGTGAACCATTTCCTGGGGTTTCCTGGTTGCTTCCCTCTGATTTCCCAATTGCAGAAAAGTTCAATAGCTTTGACAAAAAATCTCCTGAAAGCTATGGTAATTTGCTGAAAACCAATGTTCTCCACAATTCAACTTTGTATTCACTGCCACCATTTATCTATCTCCATCTACTTCATGACTATGATAAAGGTGACATGCTTTTCTTCTGTGATCAAGATCAAGCTATTCTCAAAGAAGTACCTTGGATGATTTTGAAGTCAAATAACTATTTTATCCCATCTCTCTTTTTGATCCCATCTTTTGAGCAAGAACTGAATGATCTCTTTCCTGAGAAAGGAGCTGTATTCCATTACTTAGGCCAGTATCTCTTTCATCCAACAAACTCTGTCTGGGGGCTAATTACCAGGTATTACAACACTTACTTAGCCAAAGCAGATGAAAAGATAGGCATCCAGATAAGAGTCCTCGAAACAGAAACTGGTCCTTTTAAGTATGTTCTGGATCAAGTTTTGGCTTGTGTAATGAAGGAGAATCTACTGCCACGAGTCAATGAGAAAGAAGATCTAATGGTTCCATATGGGAGACCTAATAAAACTAGAGCTGTCTTGATGACATCTTTAAACTCTGGATATTTTGAGGCAATAAGAGATATGTATTGGGAACATCCAACTATCACAGGAGAAGTGATTGAAGTATACCAGCCAAGCAATGAAGAGTACCAACATACTGAGAATCAGATGCACAACATGAAAGCATGGGCTGAAATTTATCTTCTGAGCTTGACAGATAAGTTGGTCACAAGCGCATGGTCAACTTTTGGTTATGTTGCCCAAAGTCTTGGAGGTCTGAAGCCATGGATACTTTATATGCCTGAGAATCGTACAGCACCAGATCCACCGTGTCAACATGCTTTGTCAATGGAACCATGTTTCCATGCCCCTCCAACTTATGACTGCAAAGAGAAGGGAGGGATTGACACCAGTAAACTTTCCCCTCATGTCCAGCATTGTGAAGATAGGAGCTGGGGTCTTAAACTTGTTGATGGAGACAATCGTTTGTGACCATTGCATTCGTTTTTGTTCCTATACAATCAGACTTTATTTGATCTTGATCAGTCTCATTTGTCACTGTAATGACTCTAGATATTTTCACTAGATATTTTCAGCAGAAATGTATCTGCCATGCTTTCCATTTCAGGAAGTTAGTTAGCATTTCAGGTAGTTAGTTAGTCAGATATTTGCTACACGGCATGCATGCATGCATGATCATTCTGTTGAGAGGTTGGTTAGGCATAGAAAGGATCTAGAGGGAGATCCTGTATAAATAAGTCTAAGGGGGACGTGAAGAAGGCATGCAATTAGATACAACAAATTCAATTTCTTCCCTCTGCATTATCTCTATCCCCCCCTTCCCCCCCACGTTCTTCTCCCTTCCTTTTCTTTCTGTTACTTTCCTTTACATTTCTTAGCTGAAATCAGTCACTACAAGTGGTATCAGAGCTTCCGGTCCTTGGACTAGGAAGCTGAGATCGACACATCACAATGGCAGGTGGAACAAGGATGAAGACAATGGAGGAACAACTCCGCAGGCAAGACAACAGGATTCAAGGAATTCTGGAATCCATGGCAGCAGACAAGCAAAGCATGGAGGATAGGTTGGATGCAGTAAGTGTTGAGCTGAGCAATAAGCTCGATGCGTTCATGGCAGCCATTTCTCAGCAGCTCTCCAATTTGAACCCTGGAAATCAGGAGAAAGGAATATTAGGTTCTCCAGAGGTAAGTCACTCTAGGACCTCAGAAATGGTGTGATAGGTTGCAATTTTACTATTTATTTTAGGGAAAAATGCACTTTTCATCCTCAAAGTTTGGGGGGTTGACCAATTTTATCCTCAAAGTTTAACCCCAAACACATTCCATCCTCAATGTTCCGTAATTTTGACCAATTAAGGACGATTGACGGGAATTGGAGGACAGACCGTTACAACCAACGGTTTTACCCAACAAAAAATGGGTAAAACCGAATGGAGCTAACTTTAAAGGAACAAAATGCAACGGACGGAGCTCCATTGTCGTCCTTTTTCCCTCTGCCTTTCAACCCCAAAATTTTCTTGCCAATCTTTGCAGCTTTAAACATTCATCCTCAGAGCATCTGGCAGTGGAGCTCCCTGTGCTCTCATTTTTGCTTAAATGAGGAGCAAAAGTTCTGAAGTCTCCAGTGGTTCATCAACTCCATTCTGCAAGTGTGGGTTAAGAACAAAAATGAGCACCTATTGGCGCTGCGAGAATCCGAGAAGAAGATTCCTTGGTTGCTCTCTGTGGCCGGTAAGAAATATTTGTCTAAAAATGTTGGTCCTTCAATGTGTTAATTTAGCTAACTAATTTCTGAGAAATGTCATTATTGTTATGGTAGAGACCCGAGAGATGCAGGTACTTTGAATGGGTTGATGAGCCAATTTGTCCAAGAGGGAGAGTTCTAATTCCTGGTTTGCTGAAAAAGACTAACAAAATGGAAGAACAAGTTGAAATAATGTGTAAGAGGGAGAAATTTTTTATTATAATAATTATGCTTTTGGTGGTTTTGCTAGTAATGAGTTGGAGCAGTAAAGGCGACGGAAAAGTAAAGGGAGGCAAGTGGCTGCTAACACTGGAGTGATTTTGGTAAAATTGCAGAAGGAAGAACATTTTGAAGCTGGCTGTGTTTGTTGTTGGAACGGGAGTTGCATTTTCCCCTATGAAGTAATATCCAATTGCAGGGTATAGAAAGGGACTTATTTTGTTTGTACAAAGGTTCCAAATGAACTCTGCAATTTATGTAAAAGGTGGGATTTAGGAAGGGAAATGTATTTGGCAACAATGCAATTTATGAACTCTGTAATTTATTTTGTTTGTAAAGCTATGCGTTGAGTGTAAGAAAATGGTCCTTGTCAAAGTGTTGTTCATATCATAAATATAAAATGGCCATGAACTGATAAACCACAAGTACTGATAATACAAACAGATGCAAATAAACCACGCTAGAAAACAAATGCAAATAAACCAAGCTGGCAACTAAGCCGATAAACCAAGATTGTCCCACATGTACTGATAAACCAAGTTGGAATATAAATGTAAATAAATACAAACAGATGAACATGAAAACAGCTGCCATATATGTATATCATAACTTCAATACAATTAAAGTGCATTCCCAATGAAATAAAGCAAACTACATGACTGTAGTTGAACATTGGTCCATAAATGAAATAAAGCCAGCTATCACATTACAGCTTGCACTTCCATAATTACTAGGCAAGGCAAAAGTTGAAACAACAAAAGTCATTCACTAATTACAAAAGCAGCAACTTGGCTTGAACAAAAGCAGCTTGGCTTGAAGAAAATTCAGCATGTTGTTTCTCCTATCACAGTAGTTTCTCCTTTCCCTTCGATCTAGATGAACTAGGAACACTTAAATCTGCCTTGCCAACAGCAGCAACATGCATATGAACATCTCTAATCTTGAAGGGCATCTGTACTTGTTCTTTAGTTTGTGTTCTGGGTTCCTTGGTGCTATATTTCACTTGAGACCTTGACAGCCCAAACACTTCGTACATATCCTGGTCTACTTGATCTGGGGCAGAGGATGTTATGTCAATCTCAACCAGTGGCTCAGCATCCTGTTGATGTTCAATGTTTGAATTATCATTACAAACTGCAGCTGCAACTCTTCTTGTACGTCTATGTCTCTTCTGCACAAAACAGTGAGGTAGCAAAAATCAAATTGCATAAAGACAAAAAAATCAAAAGATGTAGCAGGTTTTTCTACCCTTTTATTTGAAGACTCAGTAGCAGGCTTCTTGGTTTTCTTTGTTCCCTACAGTTTGAAAGGAAAACATGTCATTTATATACCAAATAGCAAAAATAGTTGTAACAAGTCATCAAAACAACTTACAACTTTTTTTCCATCTTGGCTAGCTGGATTGTTGGTAGAAGCAGCAACTTAGCTTGAACTAATATCAGTTTCTGCAACTGCAGGATCTTGAGCATCTTTGAGAAACTTGCAAGACCTCATATTATGTCCCCTTTGATGACAGTATCTACACTTGTTAATTTGTCCACTCTTGTCACTTTCTTCTTAGTTTTTTCCTTGGCTTGTTGAACCTCCTCTGCACTTCTCCTTCTCAGCTTCTTAGGCCTTCCAGGTTCTCTCCCATATAAGGGTGGCAAAGGACCTTCACCAACATCAGTAAGCCCCCATTCACTTTCTCCATTTATGGGACACACTGATCCTTCATAGCACTTCATATATGTCTCCACTGTATACCATTTTGAAACGTATAGCAGAGGATCCTTTTTAGCCATCCACAATGCAGCAATGGCATGGGGACAGGGAATACCTGTTAATTCCCATTTTCTGCAAGAGCATGTTTGCTCCTTGATGTTCACTGCATATTGGTCACCATATGGGCAACTGACTTCATAAAGATCATCATTTGACTTGAATGGAAAACAGTCAGGTGCTCCATCTACATTTTTCTGCATAATGTGAAGAATTCTGGGGCAATAAGGATAAGTCTGCCACTTCTCTTTGACCAGATCCCTATTTTTTTTTGCATTCTCTGCATCATGTACAACAGTATTGCTTCAAACATTTCAATTATTGGCTTCTCCCTAGCATCAAGAATTTTGCTGTTGAAGCACTCACAGATATTATTCAATAACATTGCACATTTAGGATGAGTGCTAAAATAAGCTCTGCTCCATTGACTTGGTGGTTTGTCATCAAATCACCTGGCTGCCTCTATATCAATTTGAGCCATTGCTTCCATTCTGCTAATGAATTGAGCTAGTGTGTTGCTTTGGCAATAGTCCATAACGCTCTCCTCAAACCTTCTCCTTTGAAACCAGCAGATGAAAAGTTATTGTGCAAGTGTTTCACACAAAATCTGTGGGCTGCATTTGGGAAAATCAGATCACATGCTTCAATTAGACCTTTTTGTTTGTCACTCATTATTGTCCATTCATAATCCTTTTCAATCTTCAAATCTTCTTTCAATAGTTTGAAGAACCAGCACCATGAATCCTTACTTTCACCTTCTGCTGCAGCATATGCTATTGGAAAAATGCCATTATTGGCATCAACTCCAACAGCTGCTAGCAAAACTCCTCCTACTAATCCTTTCAAAAAAGTACCATCTACTCCAATAAATTGCCTACATCCAGTTAGGAAACCATGCTTCACTCCAGCAAAACAGATGTACAACCTCTCAAATCTGCCTTTCCCTGTTTTTGAGTCTCTAAAGCCATCAACAATTTTCATTATAACAGTGCTACCAGGGTTGGATCTTAGAATTTCATGCATATAAACTCCTAATTTGCTGTACTGGTCTTTTTCACTGCCCTGAACAATTTTCATTGCTTTTCTCCTTGTCCTATATGTTTGATTTTTTGTGAAGGAGCACCTATTTTCTTTCATTACTGTCTTCGTAAAATGCTCCAAATCTAATTTAGGATTACACGTAAACTCTTCACAATACTTCTTAGCTACCCATCCAGAATGCACAAGAGGGTTATCATATGTAAAACCACATGTGTGATTATCTTCAAATGTTCTTATTTGAATAGTTCCATCCCCACTTAATTTTCTAGCATATATAACCCAATTACATTCACTATTTCTGCATCTAGCCCTCACCCTCACTCTATCTTGTTTCACAAACTTACAAGGCCTGCCTTGTTTCACACTATAATTATGTACAGCAGTCTTGAAAAGTTTCAGACTTATAAAGGACATATACAGCTCTAATTTTGGATTGTCAATATGCTTAGGATCAAAACTATGAGACCTCAATTTAGACTCTTCATCATCAGACTCATGAATGCTTTCAAAATCAGATTCAGAATCAGGAACTTGTTCTGTTTCATCAGAATCAGGAACCTTCTCTGTTTCATTCAAAGCATCAGGAATCACATTTTCTTTCCTGTGATTATCTACTCCCAACCATTCAGCATTTTTGTCAACATTATCATGAAATATACCATCATCAGCATCATCACCTATTTCATAATCTGAATCAATAGCTGAAAAGAAAGTCTCATCACTTGCGTCGGAATCATTATCACAATTATTAGCAGCACACCTTCCTTGACCTTCATCCCTAACAGTGCTGTTACCATCACCATTTTGGAGTTCATTTTCTGTCTCATCTACCTCATACGGATCATAACCAAGTTGTTGCACTAGAATTTCATGAAAAGATACTTCAAGATATAAGTTAACTTCCTTAGTTGGTCCAACCTCCCCATTAACATAACCATTTAACTCCCTACTGCTGTCTATCCTCCTTAAGGTGTTATTTTCCCAACCATAGTACACCTTATGACCATATACACCAGCACTCTCAGTTAATCTATCCACTTCGAAAACACTTAGATCTATACTCTCAACATAGTCAAACACACACAAATCTCCACCTTCGTAATGGGGATCAGGAGTATATGAAATGAGGCCTCCATGGTGACATCTTAGTGTAATAAATGTGCTGCCCGTTTCTGGTTAAAGAAAATAATATACATCAGACTCTTCAGGAAAAAAAAAAAGCTTCATCATTTCAGCACAACAAATTGTTGACCCACACAAAAACTACCAAACAAGGACCATTTTCACTTTTTCCATACACATGGCCAGATACACATGGCCGGCAAAATATACCAAGTATTATTGTTTATTAATCACTCTCACCTCAAAATAATAGTCAAGCGGCAACTATCATCAGACATAAGGGACCACATTCACACTATAATAATCAAACCAAGACAAATTTTTTGATTTATTTATACCTCATGCAAATGGCCAGATCTGGAAAAAAATAACCGTAAATTGTAGTGGGGAAACAATACAAACACAAGGGACCACATATCAGGTTTCCTTCTCCAAAAAAACACATATCTTTATGCAATGTAGTTGTTGATTTTGGGTATAAATACCGTAATTTGGGGGTGGACAAATGTGGAGCTCTTTCTTCCGCAATGCCATAATTTTCTTCACCTAAAATGCTCCACGGATGCTGTCTATGCCCTCCTTCTTGCTAGCAGATGCTCGAAAAGTGGATGGAAAGATTGGCACAAAAATTTTTAGGGCTGAGAACGGAGAAGAAAGAAGGAGAAGACAGAAGCTTTTTTCCTTTCCTTTTGCTATTTCGTGCATTTTTGTCCGTTAGAAAAAGTGGGTCCATTCGGTTTGACCCGGTTATATTGGGTATAAATTTGGATCTAACGAATTGTGCTTCTCACGTGCAAAGTTCCGTCCTAATTTTTGATTTGTCCTCCAATTCCCGTCAATCGTCCTTAATTGGTCAAAATTACGGAACATTGAGGATGAAATATGTTTGGGGTTAAACTTTGAGGATAAAATTGGTCAACCCCCCAAACTTTGAGGATGAAAAGTGCATTTTTCCCTTTATTTTATTATTAATTTCCCCTATTACCTGACTTGATATGGATTAATTGTTGGATTCTACTCATTTTTCGTAATTTGCATTTATTTCAGGAAGTAGATCAAAAATACCACAATTAATACCATTTTGACAGTCATCGGAAAAGAAATTGAATAGAAGGCTTGAAAGGGCATTTTTGGAAAAAAGGACACAAGCCCTTTCCGGTCATTTTGGGCCGAAATGTTATTTCCCCTGGAGGCCGCCGCACAGGAAGGAATTAGAGTAGGTTTTTTGATAGGAAATAAAGTAGAAAACAGAGAGAACTACTTAGCTTAGTTTTCTTTGACTTTTCCTTTTTTTTTCGTCATCTAGTGGGGACTTGTCCCATTTTAGCTTTTAGTAGTAGTTTTCTTTTCAGCCGTATGTAGGAGAAGCAAACAATCAATCAAGTACCTCCTGTAGCTTACTTTCTCTATTAAAGATAACGAAGTGAATTCGCTCATTTGGGAACTGATGG